AAGTCTTCCATATATATGGAAAGTGCATAAGCTTGCTGTGGAGTCTTATATGTGAGAATTCAAATAATGCATCATTTTTAGCCCTCTGAATAAAATTGGACTTCATAAAAGGTGTCCATTCCATGAAAGAAAAGAGCTCACAGTAAATAGATTTCTAACGTAGCCAAGAGAGACGATTGAGAATATCAACATTAGAGGAACAAAGATAGACTTGGCCTTCCTGTTGCATCCAGCCCTCCCTAACAAACACCAGCAACAGCCACACACCACGGGCAGGCATAGATCTCTGTGTAGTTTCAGAAGGCTGAAGAAGTAATGATGATTAGAATGACAATTAGATTCTGGATCCTCAAAGGAGCCAGGGTTTTCAGTACTTACACAGGATAAAGTGGAAACATTTAAAATGTGTATCCCTGGAGGCTTGAGCTACTAGAAAATTAATTATCTTCTTCTTCCTTTCTCTCAGCTTCTCTATACCATTTATGGTAGGTTTGGAGTCCCACCCTCATTGTTAATTCCCTTTGTTGAACTTTGTAGATTTGTCCTTAATTTCTGTTGGCACAATGCAATGTCAATAGCAGAAAAAAGAGAAAAAAAGAAAAGAATTCACAGAAAACCTGGGAAATTTCTATCAATCTGGAGCAGAAGTAACTGGACATGGTTGACAGAGGAGGGCATTGGTGTGTGCTGGAGAGACACTAACCTTGGAGTCATATGGCTATGGTTCAAGACCTTTCTCTGCTACTTACTCACTGGGGGCCCTAGAGGGTCTCCTAACCTCTGTGAGCTGTGGTTATCTAATTTTCAAATGGAGATAAAATTCAATACACTCCAACCTCCCAGGGCTTGTTGTGAGGATCAAATGAGACAGAGATTGTGACTGTCTTTGTAAGTGCTAAATAAATGCATGGGTTTCATGTTATCCCTGCTATAAAAGACCTCCTTATGCATCACATTCAAGACCTCCTTCCCTCCAAGGAACTTTCCCCATTTCTGTCTACACCAAGTCATGGGGACAATGTCAGACTCACCCCTCACCCCTGCCTACTTGCAGAGGTGTCATGATCACCATGCCAGTGTGCTATCACAGTGGAAGAATCAATCCATTCTTCTGCTGACCTTACAAACAAACATTTGCTGAGTGCCTATACTGCCTCACACAGCATGCTAAATCCTGGGGATAGATATGATAAATTATGATTCTTGCTGTTCTCTGGAAATAGCTGATCTCAGAAACTTTACCTACTTTCAAACTAGTAAATTCATGTTGAATCTCAAATACCCCTAAGTTAAACCTGTGCCCTTATTCCATAGTACCAATGTGATGTCTGTGTTTTCTTTATCCCTAAACCCAGTGGGCCAAAAACTGTTCTTTCTGAGTGCACAGTATCCAACCTCCCCAGTTGCTACCAAGACCACCAACATTATCCCAATCTCAAAAATATGGGTGATATCATTTAATCCTTCTTCTTTAAAGGCATTGAGATTAATGTTCTCCATTTTCTTGGGATAATATCTCTTCATCACTTCTCTATTTCTACAGGTGGACTCACAGTCCACTCTCATCACAGCATTTAGATGGTGGGAGCAACCTGTAGCCTCTCCTTGTTCCTCCAGCTTATTCCAGACAAATGCCAGGTGGATTTTCCTACCCTGAATGACCTGATCACAGTGGCAGTCCCCTTATTCTGGGTTTCCTTAACACCTATGTATGCATTCTAATCACATTACCACACATGCTCACATGGTGACTTGAAATGATCCTTTCAGTGGCAAAATTAACTCAGGTGTCAGTGATCAGATTTTAATGAAGACAGCTTCTTGCAAGGAGATGGACTTAGAAATCAATTAATCAGATATGTGGCAAAGGATGCTTTATACAGTAAAGGACAGGCACTGAGGTTAGCCACAGAGTATCTCTCAGTTCCTTACATAGAAGGAAAAAGAAAATAAAGCTGGGAGTCCTGTGGGAATCATCTCCTCATGCTAATGGCACCTAGTTGGCAGAAGTTGTGAGATATTAACATTCTCAAATGGACAGAAGATAAATAAACATTTTTTTTAAAAAACAGACAAGTTGCAGCTCGGAAATTTTTCAGTTTTTCTCATTGCAAAATCAATATCCATCAGCAGTTTGAAATTAAAGGCAAGATTAGGCCTCAGTTTTATACACACCTTATTGTATTCCAAAAGCTTTCTACTCAGTCAGATAAATCTTCTTTAAGAGGATTAGGAAACTTTCATTATCTTTATCTAACCTGAACTAACACTAAGTCTAAAAAATTAATCTATAGACTGGACAAAAGCTGATAACTCCTGGGAGGAAGGAGAATGCTTGGGCTTCTTTCTCATTGAGCAGTGGGGTCTCTACATCCATTTCAGTAATTCAACTGGTTTCTAAAGTGAGAACACATTGTCACATTGCTACCAAGACAGAAGGGAGCACAGCTCCCAATTTCCTTCGGTGTTGCCTCTTTGAAAAGAGAAAGACCTATCTGTCTAGTGTTCCAAGAGCAGAGCCTCCCCTTCCACCTCTACTCACCCCGATGTTTGCATTTGGGATTCATAGGCTGCCTCAAATAGCCAGAGTCAAGGAGGGCTGAATCTGAAATGTGAAGACTGTGAGGAGCTGACCTTTGGGCTAGAAGAAGCTGCTGCCCTGAATCTCCTCCATCCTCACACTGTTTCTGACCAGAGGCTGGGAGGCCTCCAGAGAGATACCATAGGCTTCCTCATTCCTGTCCAAAGAACTGCTCAAAGTGCATTATAAAGAACATCATCCCCCAAAGCCCAGCATCACAAACTCTTCATGGCCTGTATTGACTTTGATGTGCTTCCACAGTCTGTCTCATTCCTTAGAAACCAATAGCTTTGTTCTATTTGAGTCTGTTTCTGCACAGTGCCTGACAGTTATTTTTTATTTCAGTGCCACATTTCCTGAATGTGAAGATGACTTTGTTGTCCAGGCCACAGAAGTGCCACTGACATGTCATTTCCAATGCTGAGAATCTCAGCTCCTCTGGAACCAAGCCCAGGTGGTAGGTGGAATAGCTAGAACTCCCCCATTTTCTACATTCTCAGAAACTTTCTGCAGACATTCCAGTTCATCTCTTACAACTATCCCACCAAGTGCCTCCCCCATCCTTTGAGATGTATCAGATGTGACTGTTGTCTTTATCTCCAGATAGTAGGCAGTCTTGTAGCTCCAAAAAGTGATCATTGCACAGCTATTCCGTTGGATGGGACATGTATGGAGAATGGGCACAAGAAGCACCTAGAGGTATCTGTCATATGGCAGTGTCTGTATCTGAAAGCATGTGGGAGTGAGAGAAGGACTCATAGGATGGATGGACGCCATGCTTCAAGCAATATGGCTGTCCCAGGGACTGCTAGGGAACAGAAGTTGCAGCAAACGAATCCCTGGTCCAACACATCCATTACAAATGGCCCACAGAGGCAAACCTGGATGCTATGCTAGCAAAGAGTTGCTCTGTTCAAAGAAAAAAAAATGGACATTCTGAATTGTGGAAGTGACTGAATGTGAATAGATACTAATACCTAATCAATCACTTACCATGAAATCAACTGAAATGAATAGCATATTAAAAAAAAGCAGAGATGAGGACATCTTTTAATCAAAGATGTGGTACACTCTCATAATCTTAAAGAAAAAAAAACTGTTGACTCGTTGGCAGATGTGATATTATAAAAGGAAGTTGCTAAAAACTAAATTACAAAAGGAGATCTTAAGAGCTTAGTGTATGTCCCAAAGATGTCAACCAAGGATGCTCTGAGAAATGTCCATCTAAACCTCTCCTTTGGTGGAGAAGGGATGTCCCTCTAGATGATGGAATTTGTCTGCTTGGAACTTAATCCCTACCGTGAGACAGTATCTCAGAAAATGTTTTGCACAGTGATGGCAATTGGATCAGTCCAAAATAAGTTCATTTTGACTGCTGCCTTGCCTCCAAAGGGTTCTCAAATTCTCACAAATTCTACCTGAATGAATTTTTAATTCTTAATATTTAGTACCTAATATCTGAGATTATGACATTTCTTTAATTCTGTGTTTTTATGCTACAAAGAGTAACTTAAATTTAAAACTATTTTAAAAAGCAAACATGATACTGTGCCTGATCTATACTAATTATTAATTAAAGAGAGAACGAGAATTCATCTATTCCACCTATGCTCCCTCTGGCAGAGGGGAGGGAGAGAAAGAGAGAAGGGGCAGAGGACTAGCAAGGATGGTGGAATATGATAGACATCATTATCCAAAGTACATGTATGAAGACACAAATTGGTGTCAACATACTTTATATACAACCAGAGGTATGAAGAATTGTACTTTATATGTGTAATAAGAATTGTAATGCATTCCACTGTAATTTTTTTTAAAAAATCAATTAAAAAAAGAGGATGAGCTAAGCCATTCTACCCCTGTCCTATATCTTTTTAATTATATGTATTTGCTTCCAACATTGACATGGAGATATTTGAGTAATGCCCCTCTTGGCTCTAGGCTCCATTGTAGAAATGAAAGAGTTTAAACATAGAAGCAATGCCAGGCAGGAACTTTTTGACCAGCATGAGAGTCCAACTCAGAATATGCACAACCAGCAGCTATGCAAAAATAAAGTCACATGATTTCACATCAACATTAGCCTTTTATTATAAAACAATACTCAGAAAGGCAATAAAAAAGTGTCTTGAGTGCTACTGCATTCATATATCATTGAATATATCATTCCCCATCTCTAGCATGCCAAGTTACTTAAGAGGTTTAACTGGTACAGGCAAAACAATTTACTATTGAGAACAGAAGGACTAGAGACAAAATATTTAAAAAAAAAAAAACTTTCAAAAGATATTCAGTTCTCAGTCTATGTATTTAACAAAGTAAACTTTTGTGCCTTTTAACATTACAGAACAAACACTAAGATCCCTCTTCCCCTCCATCACTGAACAGAATGTCGGCCCTTGGTCCAGGTGTGACTTACCTTGCACTATGAGGTGGACCCGGGAAGTTTTGGGATGATTGTCTGTCTGAACAGAGCAGGTATACGGACCTTCATCATACACATCCACGTTTTGGATCATGATGCTATATTGGGTCGGTGTGTTGACTAAGATGATCACACGAGGGTCTATGGACCACTTGTCATTGCCAGCATAGAGTATTGTGCTGCGGTTTAGCCAGGCCACCCGAGTGACCCGATCATCTATGGTACACCTGTGAGTGACATGGGGATAGGATGGGGAAAGAGAGAGGAAGAAAGGAGAAAGAGAGAGATGATAAGAAATTATATTATCAATATAGTAGTGTATCTCAAGAAGTAAATGAATCTACATAACAGTGCTACAAGGAAACAATCAATTATTTATGAAAAGTCCTAAATATAAGGTAAGAGAGGTTTGAATCATTCTGAAGAACTGATGATGCAAAATCATTTCTATTTGATGTAGGAACATATTATGTGAATATCTTCATTGTGCATTTGGTTTCCCTCTTATTTTCCCCTTAGGCTTATATGAAAATTAGTTTATATTTCTTGAGCACATTTACCATCTTGTGGGAGAAATGGCCCAGAGGCACAGGGGTGCAAAAGTGGATCAGTATTTCAAATAGGTCACAGATAATCCACAAAGCAAATACTTAACTTTTAGTTAATCAAAACTTGAACTTATTTACCTCCAGACCTTCCAGGTGTTGATAATCTCCTTGTACCCCTAAGCTGCCCAAAGCCTGTGAACTACAGTTTATTATAGGGGTTGTAAAATTCACCTTGGAAAGCCAACATTTTTTGAGAAAGTCATCACTGCCTCAAGATTTTAGGGCAGGGAACAAGGAAACTATCAACAGCACACCCCTTCCTTTATGTACTTTTCCCCCTGCCCAGTTGAGAATGAAAACAATGTTATTTTCAAAGTGGAGAGTCAACCTCACCTACTTGGCCCAGGCTATATATGCAAATGGAATTTGCTTGTTGATATGTATGACCTTCAGGCTATCAACCCTCATGCAGAAATAAATGTACCTGCAGGTGGGGAAGAACATTTGCAGATGAACCATAGGAGTTTGAACATGAAAATAGAAACAGGAGAAAATGGACTCCTTTATAAAAGTAAGTATGCTCCGAAGGACCCTGGTGTGCTTACTTGCTACCCATGGCTGTGTACAGGCATATGCAATGACAAATAGCAGCAATAATGACCTAGCACAGAAAGGAACCTGGGAACTCCAGGGAAAAGGCCTTGACTCTCTATATCTGATCTATCACTCAACATGCAACAGAGATCCTTCAGATAAGGTTCAGAGATAGGAGAATACCAAAGAACAGGCATTGACAAAGAGACCAACCTGACATTGCCTGAATGACCCAGGGTCTTGGAGAACCAAAAAGACATCTTTTTTTTTGAAGGGGTCAAGAAAGGTCCTCTCCCTCACTGGTAGAAGAGATAAAAATAATGCTAGCCTCCAATTACCAATGTTTTCTTCATCCCAGCCCACCTGTCACTCTGCAGGTACCAGTGACTGTGAAGTAGGGATGGAGTGGTTTTCATAGGGGTGGTGCCTTCATTCTGTGGTAAGGAAAAACCGTTCTTTACTAAATCCTTTTCCTATTTTTCCATGCTATAAAAGCATAAAAACAAATAAAAAGAATGTTTAAACATGTGATCAACATAAAGTGTATATGTGTATAATACAAAGATCACAAAAAAATCAAGCTAGTCTTTTCTTCCTCATCAACTTGCAGTGCTCTTAAGTTCTTGTTTCATGGACATCTTCTCATAGACATCTATTCACATGTATAAAGCTTGTGTTGGCTTGCTTTTCACCCGAAGTACATTCATGTGCTTATATTCCTATTGAAACTCTAATTACAGATCTAATTCTGAATCATTTCCAGGTAAGTCTCAGATCAGTGAGGTGAGTTTTGGAGGTCCAGTTGCATTCATTATTGTAACCTGATAATTAAGGTGCCATTGAATGATTCTTTCCTACCCTCACGGGTACATCACTGGTATAGGTATACCTCCATATCCTGGGGCCCTAGTGTATTTTTGTGCTCAGTTTTATTTATTCTTTATCAATCGTCCATTTTCCTTATGAAAACTGAAATCCTAATGGAACTTCCTTGCTCCTCACTTTCAAAATAATTTCTTAAAAGAAAAAAGAATAATAAAATTATTCCTTCTCAGTTTTCAATGATTAATAGAGACTAATGTATAAGATTTCATAAAGATGGTTATATTTTCATAAAGACCAAATCCCTGTTTCAATAACTCCTCCAAAAGAATGAAGTTCTAATAGTAGAATTCCAGGAATGGGCAAGTGTTAAAGTGGATGAAAAATTGGGACACAGTGAAGGGGGTTACCTGCCAGTCTCAGGTACCATACATATCCCATGTGCAAATATTTTTAAAATTTTTATTTTGGTTAGCTGTGTAACCCTTTGCACATGTGTAAATTGGCATAAAATTTATTTAAATTGTAGTTTCAAAGGATTTATTTCTTGGCCAGTAGAGAATATGTTCATTTTAAAATGTAAAAAGTCACAGAATTCCTTGTGCATGTGTGAACATCTGTGTGTTCAATGAAATTTAAACACCACAGTGATTGACACTCATGATTATCCACTTTCAAAATACATCTAAAAGCTCTTCTTTAAAAGTCATAAAATGTGCATTATTTTCTTTTAAACTTAAAAAAAATTATATTTCCATTATATGTTCCCTGCAGAATATATTTTATACTTGAAAATATTTTATTGATCACATATCATATTGATTTGCAACAAAAAATATAGGGATTGAAATCTAAATTTCTTTTATATCCTATGACTATAAACTTCCAATTTATAATATTTGCTTTTAAAATGAGTTATGATTACAAACATAAAATAGATAAAGCAACAAAAATATATTGCACATTTTAAGTAATAATCAGACATATAAAAGTTAATTTTTCCTGTAAATATAGCTCTTAATTACATTGATAAGTCTTTTTATATCATTAATAAAAATGCCACATACTGCTAGAATGAGATGGAGTTTAGGAACAATTCTATTTCTCTTTTTGCTTTTAGAGAAACCTCTTCACATAAGCATAGACATGGAAATTAAAATTTTGTGTAACAATGACACTCAATTCTTTGGATACCTCCCAAGATATATACCAAAAAATCACATAGGAATATAATTTCAAAAATTATTTTAATAATCTCAGTGCTGACAACTCCATTAGTTCCTCTTTCAATTTCTTTTAAAGAGATGAATTGGAAAATACCTGATATGTAAACAGGTTTGGAACCTAGTATTATATTCACTCAATTTCTTAAAATCTGAAAAGTATACTCATAACACCTTTCCAGGTCTTATTAAATAACTATAAAACATAAGATATTCATTCACCTGGAGAACCTTGTTTAACCCAAAGCACTCAGTAATATTGGGGAAATCAGAATACTGTTTATATTAATGTGTTAAATCCATCCTCAGTAAGACAACATCTCTGATATCTGAGTTCTAATTTGATGACAGAGAATTCACTGGCTTTGCAATGAACTGATGCAATAATGTGCTCTACCATTGTCTTTGGTACTTCTCTGCCTTACTTTTGTAGGACTCTCCCAAAAGAGTGACGTATATTCACAAGACTATGATCCTACTTAAAATAAGATATACTCCATATTTGTATAAATATGTCAAAATTGGCTCTAGTGTCATGTATAACTAAAATGAATACAAAAAAAGTGACACTGTGCATAATAGGCAGATGATGGAGTTGACAAAAAAATTCAAGGAATATTGTTTCTTGGACATTTTGTAATGTGGAAATTGTTAGAAGGGAGAGGCAGAATTCAAAACTAATCTTACAGAATGTCTCAAGCAGATCAGTTTTAGAGAGTTTCAGATATTAAAATACATTTCCTTAAAGCTTACAATTCTTTTGTAGAGAATAAACAAGTGTAAGATTGAGCACATGGAGCACATGCAAATTATAATGGGGTCCAGAAGGGGATGATGGCTTTGAAACATATCAGTTCAAATATACTATCTCTGGGCTGGGGATGTGGCTCAAGCGGTAGCGCGCTCGCCTGGCATGCGTGCGGCCCGGGTTCGATCCTCAGCACCACATACAAACAAAGATGTTGTGTCCGCCAAATACTAAAAAATAAATATTAAAAAAATCTCTCTCTCTCTACCTCTATCTCTCTCACTCTCTCTTAAAAAATATATATACATATATACTATCTATGGCCAGCACACTCTGTAAGCCTGGCCACATAGCCCCTGGCAAGGCTATGTACCCCTTAGTATAAAATACTTCAGATGGATGGTCATGGTCCAATTAACTAGCTCTTCAACCTGGACCTCATTAGTGGACATGGAGAGAAATAGAAAGGAGTAGCTGTGTAGACCTCTCTGTGATAGGGCAAGAATGGTCATCAACTTTATACAGTTCACAAAACCTATGGACAATTATGTTGGCCGAGGAGAGTTACTGTTCTCATGATGTTTCTCTGCTGGAGAAGAAAGTGTAGCTTCATAGCTTCTTTTTTTCTTCTACACCATAGGACTCTTCTATAGTCCTATGAACAGCAGGAGAAGGAACTCAGGGAAGAACTTTAAAAGTCTGCTTAAGTGTTCTTCTAAACCTGTTCTTTCCCTGCTGTTTGGGGCAATATCCTGAATCCTCTTTAACAAGAAACATATATGGGACATTTTTTATATTAAAGAAGACATCCAAGAGGCAAGTTGAAGAAGGTTAATGAAAACTTTCTGATCTCCTGAGAACTCTTTCAGAGATTTTAAATCCTTACTTTTCAAGCCAACTCTATCTACAGATCCTTGATAATATAAAACTCATTAAAACTATTACATACAACAGCTAACCTTATATATTTCTTGTACTGCCCCAAGAAAAGTTGTAAGAACTTTACATATATCAAATTGCTCATTCCACATAACTACCCATTGAGAAATGCTCTATAATATCCACATACTATAGATTAGGAAACTGAGGCACAGAATAATTCAGTAATAATCCTAATATCACAGCAAATAAAATCATAGCAGGGGATTCAACTTCTGTAACAGCCTGGGATTGGAGTTCCTGTACTTATCAGCTAGGAGAACCTAAGCAATAAGACCAACTGGATTTGGCTAGCATCGTTCAGTTTTGCTCAAATTATTAATACTTATTTAATTTTTATTATAAATAATAAA